AATAATACTCTTAATAGAAATTTCGAGAAATTATACTCATGCAACATTTACTATTTGCATATACGTAAGTCTCCCTCCAATTTAGTGCTTAACAAAAAACAAAAGGAACCATTATGATTGGTAGAATCTAAAATCGTTCTTACCATGACACAGATGTATACGGTTTTTTTTACAAAATAATAAAGGAATATCGCAGTAGATCATGGCAAGCACTGTTATTATGCATTTTTTTTTTAAATTGAGAAAAATAACCACAAAGTTAAGTTTTGACCATCCATGCTCTTAGTTCAATTCGCTCACATTAGTACTTTGATTCCATTCATCAAGTTACTTCGCAGCTTTTGCCATTTATCGCATTACCGTTGAATCTAATGTTCATGAAAATAATCGTCTTACGAGCTTTAAGCTTTTCTTCAAATAAATTCCGTTCCGACACAGTTTGTTGAATATTTTACTAATTATCAAGAGCTAACAACTCTAAACGTAAACAGTTTACGAATTTTCAACATTCGTGCGGAATGGCGTCATCTCTACCGATCCATGTGTGTGGACCCTTATGAACAATGACAATCAGCCAATGAGCGCATGAGAAATTTAACACTTATTGTTAAATGCAATATTTCAGAACGTTTTATTTAATTTCAATTTTTAGTTTAGTTTAGCTCGATCCACTAGTTGGAGTCAACATTCTTACGCCGAACAATGGTATAACTAAAAATTTAAAGGAAGTATTCGAGAAGTGTCCGTCTGTGCTTTGAATTTAAGCATGAGAAACCTAAGGACCGGTATTCAGTTAAGTCACAAACAGCTGCCTATCAGTCGCAATTCTCTAATTAACAGTTAAATGGAGCCTGCGGTCAATATAGTTGAAAATACCGTCAGTAGAAATATTGCTTTTCGATGCATATCTTGAATACTTAAACACCTTCGAATATTCTCATGCCATTCAAGTTTCACTATTGTATATTTCAATTTTTTCTTGAACTTTGAACCTGATGATAATGACATAAACTTATCGAAACGCCATTCAATTTTAATATCCCAGTTTTTCATTCTCAAACATGATGCATATCTGCTCATTAAACAAAGGTAAGAAAAAAAGTTATACGCCGCTAATGTCCACAAAAAAGCTACATTTCTAATGGATTACATCTTTTATTATACATTGTAGTCACCATCTGTCTCCTCATTGGCTAAAAGCCTACAGTTAATTCCGGGAAAAAGCGCAACCTACGAATTATTCACTAATCTGCTAGCAGATTAGTGAATAATCTGTACGTTGCGCTGTTTCCCAGAATTAACTGTAGGCTTTTAGCCAATGAGAAGACAGATGGTGACTACAATGTATAATAATTCCGAATTCACAAAAACCTCATCCAATAATTGTTTAGTAGTAAGGACGTTCGCGCTAATTGTGTCTGCGCATCCTTACTACGCACGCAAATTCACACGCCACGTCGTGCATCAAGCGCGCGCTAAGTAATAATCTTATAGCTTTGCCTGGATTTAACGATCTTGTACGTTTAGCAAAAAAATGAAGAAAATCTATCTGTTAGAGGTTAGAATCTTTTGAAAAATGCACCATCGAAATCCGTTCTTTTTAGCTCTTCGTTTATCTGTTCGGCGGTTTGAGTCATACGAAGAACTAGTAGGACGGAGTCGTGCTAAATTGCCAACGCTATACAATAGATGTCTCCAGGATACTGCAGTGCTGATGTACAAGGTTAAGTACTGGTTAACACCAACTTGTATTTCTGATCTGTTCATTCGCACGGACAAATNAAAAAGTTATACGCCGCTAATGTCCACAAAAAAGCTACATTTCTAATGGATTACATCTTTTATTATACATGTAGTCACCATCTGTCTTCTCATTGGCTAAAAGCCTACAGTTAATTCCGGGAAAAAGCGCAACCTACGGATTATTCACTAGTCTGCTAGCAGATTA